ATACACACAAATAAATATATAAACATAAACATATACGTACATATACATATCTATGATAACAAGTACATATGTACGTACATATACATATAAACCTAAATACACACACATATATACACACATAGACTTTTATGCACACATACTTAGATATATAAAAAACAGTCATGATATACCAAAGTTTCCATACCTACACATACACACAAATTCATACATAATAGGTTCCAACACACACACCTATATATATACATACACAAGCATACATAAATATATATACACACATACATACATATCTACAATTAAACATATATATATACATAAATATATCTACCTGCAATAACAACCACCCATATATACATGCATACATAAAAATACAACAACTTTCAACCAAATACATATATAAACGAACTAACATATAGATACATAAATATACCTTCAAACACCAACCCACAGCAATATACATATAGTCTAACATACAAATATATAAACACATTCATACAAACAGAAATATACTTAAATATAAATACACATACACAATAAAATAGGACATACAGATATATATACATATATATATATGCACACACATATATATATACACACATACATACACACATGCACATACATATATATATACAAATATATCGTGGCACAAAGCTGAAATCAAGGGGCATCCAGTGAGGAACGAACTCATTACTCAGTCGCACCCAATCTAGTGAACCATGCTGGCCAACCATTATACTGCCGTGATTTAATCATATACATACCTGTACATACTCATACACATACACATACACACATACATACATATACACACATACATATATATATGCATATATACATATATATATATATATATATCCAACCATATACACACACACACACATATATATATATATATATACATATATATATACAAACATATATATATATATATATCTACATACATACATACATACATACATATACACACATACACACACACAAATACATACATATATACACACACCCATACACACATACATATATAGGCACACACTGACACATATACAGTAATAATTATTAACGATTTTCTCTCATAATCTACCTTACCTTCCCACACGCCAATATATATATGCATATATACACACACACACATATATATACATATATACATACCCACACATACACACATGTCACAAAAAAAAAAAAAAACCCATAAATACATTTATACACCAACCTA